CGCTTTTCTGCATTCAGATTGTTTAGAATGACTTTGTCACTCCTGTAAATAATGTAACGACTCTATTGTTTCTCAGACCCTGATATCCAACAGCGATGTCATGAATAATTCCACCTCTGTTAGTAAGAAGAAGGAGAAGAAAGAGCAACTAACCAAAGCACAGAAGAGGAAACTGATTGGAAGAACGGGTTAGTATCGTTGGCAAAAAAAAAAAATTGGCTTTGTTGTTTGAATGCACACTGATGTGAAACTGCTCTTTGCAATGAACAGATAATAAGGGTGAACTGCCAAGAGGTTGGGACTGGGTAGATGTTATTAAGGTAAGCTAAATTGAAAAGATTTACTGTAAATGCCATTTTACATGTAATGAGTGCACATTCTGAAATTGTCAGGGACTTGTTTTATAATGTCTGTATTTTTTCTCTTTTGCGTGGGGATCTCGTCCATACATTACCACCTTTTCTGTCCAACAAACAGCATGTAAGTAGTTTATGTGTATAAAATATACATGTATTTACAAGATACAGTGGCTCAAAGAAGTATTTGCACTCTAAGGTCAATTTAAGCAAAATTGTTGTGACATTAGATTGAAAAAGGATCAAATCAAATGGTGTTTATTTGAAAGAAAACAAACACAAGCATTTTACAGAAATTTGACATGCGTGTATTTTTTAGATAAGAAAATAATAGACAGATGGACAATAGACACAAGTGTTTGGGCATAGTTCATATGATGAAGTCCACCTGTGGTTAAGTGAAGTGACATGTGGCCAAGTATGGTGACCCATACTCGGACACACACACCTGCACAGTGTGAACCCACACCTGGAGCAGTGGGCAGCCATTTTTGCACCCGGGGAGCAGTTGGGGGTTCGGTGCCTTGCTCAAGGGCACCTCAGTCGTGGTATTGAAGGTAGGAGAGAGCGCTGTACATTCACTCCCCCCACCTACAATCACTGCCGGTACGAGACTTGAACCTGCAACCTTTGGTTACGAGTCCGATTCTCTAACCATTAGACCACGACTTCCCCGTTAGTTACTTTGCTATACTTCATGCGAACTGATGTCATACATCCACTGCAAATCAACTTGGGAGGATTGGTTTTAAGTAATTCAAACATTTTCAGAAAATGTCTTTCATCGTGTATATATTTGCAGGTGCTGCTTGATTTGATATTCTGTTGTAATGGCATACGAATTATGTATGACTAGAGTATTCAAATATTTTGGGGCCTCTATTTTGAATAAAATCTTCATGTAATCATATCAGTGACATACTAGACTATAAACACTGTTTATAGTTTTTAAAAACTGTAAACCATTGTACGACAGCGTCACAAAGAAACACTGCTACTACAAAGTTTGTGGTCAGTTTTAAAAAAAAGAAGAAATTAATACTTTCATTAAGCATGCATTCATTAAATTTGAATAAATTACATTAAAAAAATTACAATAGAAAACAGTTGTTTTAAATGTAATTATTTTTCTCAATATTACTTCTATTGTATTTTTGATCCGACAAATGCAGCCTTGTTGAGCATAAGATACTTTTTTCAGGAGCTCTTAAAAACCACAAACCTTTGAAGGGTAGTGCAAG